ATGGTTTTAATCATTGCACAAATATTAGAGTGGATAGCCAATCAGAATGGATATTCAAATGATATAAATGATAAAATGTCTTTTATTTCCATATACAATATTGCCGAAAAGGCATAACGGAGGCCTAAATTCTCCTGCTTCCAAATAAATATATACAATCAGGATATATCATGGACCAATCATGGTCAAAGATAAACTGTTCAAGCCAATCAGCTTTAAGATTTCACTGTATGAAGCATTCATGAATCCATTCACATATAAATTATTATAATGGTTGTACTCTGATAATGACATTCCGTGATTTGTTTTGTAGATTTAGTAAATTGACTGTTGTAGTGTTGGTGATCTGAGAGATTATAATACGTTGTTAATTAAAGCCTGTTGATATCAGGGAGACATCATCTGTGTGAGCATAATTGTCAGCAAATATATAACAAATCTGCAGCAAAGTTTTATTTGTAACTAAAATATGATGAATATTAATCACCCTCCTTGAAAATAAAATACCTCATTGACCAATACTAAATGGATCCAATTCAGATTCTTCTTAAAGGGGTCCTATTATGCTTTTTCACTTTTTAAATTTTAGTCAGTGTGTAGTGTGTATGTTTGGGCATAAAAAAGATCTAGAAAGTTACAAATCTCAAAGTCCACTCCAAAGGGAAATATTTCGTTTTTTTTAAATCCCTTTTCAAGAACTACAACGAACGGAGTTATATTTGACTGTAAGTGCCCTGCGAAGTGGACACCAGTTTGAAGGGAGCTTATATGTTCCATACAAAGGGCATTTAAGTGTGCGAGACGTGAAATTAAATTGTATTTATTTACAGAGGTATATTATGTCCCACGTCACACTTCTCTAGTAAGTTTCATTTGTGTGTGAAGAAGCTGCAAGCAGTGGTGCAGCGCAAATCTGTAAATGAATATTCCGAAGTGAAGTAAACTTCAACGGATTTCCCCTGCTCAGGGAGTAGGGAGCAATGGACACTGTGTAGGGAGCATGTCAATCGGAACACAGTTCA